GCCACGTCGTCCGCATACGCTCCAAGTTTAACATTCCTCTGGATCTTTAGCTTTAGGAGCCCGTCATACATGATATTCCACAGCAGTGGGCCAAGAACAGAGCCCTGCGGAACACCTCCGGTGATTTCGTACTCTTTCGGACCGTCCTTTGTGTCATATCTCAGGACTCTATCCGTGAAGTAGCTAGCTACTATTTTACGTAGGTATCCTGGCACGTTCTTCTCTTGAAGAGCTTGCATAATGCAGTCCCATTTAGCAGAGTTGAAGGCGTTTTTGATGTCTAACGTCGCCACCAGGCTGTGTGTGTGTGTGTGTGTGTGTGTGTGTGTGTGTGTGTGTGTGTGTGTGTGTGTGTGTGTGTGTAAACCTCTTGTAACTTTTGAACGACTTAACCGATTTCATCGCGGTTGGTGTCATTCGAAAGGGCTTCACTAAACTTAGATTTCCTGAAAATTTGAACCGATTCCGACTGGTAGATTTCGAGAAAATGCAAAAAAAGTGAAAAAAAAAGTTGTTTTTTTTTATTTTTTTTAAATATCTCCGAATTGGCTGGACCGATCAGTCTCAAAAACTAATCAGCTCTTAACCTTGAAAACCCCCATCGATCGCCACCAAAAACGTTAGAATCGGTTGATGCGTTCGTGCGATATCGTTGTCGAAAAAAATCGAAAAAAGTGTTTTTTTGTAATAACTTCGAAATTTATGGGTCGATCGATTTAAACTTGAAAATTTTTCATGGAGCTTCAAAAACTGCGTCGATTGCCGCCAACTGCGTGAAAATCGGTTCATTCATTCAAAAGTTATTGCCGTTTTAAAATTCAAAAAATTGTGTTATTAAACTGCTATTAGAGTTTTGAGCTCGAAAAGCTCAAATTGACACAAAAATAATATTTTTGAGCTCGAAGAGCTCAAAAACGTAATGTGTAGTTTGAAGCGTTTAAATACAAAATGAGCGGGAAGTTGCAGGGATGGCCTTTAGGGTGAACCGTTTTTCTAATTTTTTTTTTGGTTTATTTGATTATCTTGTTTGATTTGTTGGACGACCTGGACTGAATTACGGATCCACTGATCACTCCACTGTCAGTGGAGACGTAATGTTTGTTACATAATTATTGAGATTTATTTAAGCCGGCTAAATGCCTAGCAAAAATAAATACAAGTTATTAATGATGGCTATCGCTTCGTTCCACAGTATAGGTTCGAAGGACAGAAATAATTACCTTGTGTCTTTAGAATTTCGAGGCTGCTTTGTCGAGTTCCGTGCGACAACTTCCTTTGCCTCGGTGCAGTCTTCTCCCCACTCTCGAATCACTTCCACTCTAGGTCCCAGAACTTATTTTATCAAATTTTCACTGCGCGAGCATCTTAGATCACAGCGCCCTGTGATCCGTCGATGATTAACCATATTCAGGGTGAGGGCCTTCAATAGATAATAAAGGAGCCCCGTGACAGTATACCTACACAAATTAGGTCTTCACCACACTGTGATCATCAGTGAATGTGATGTGCAAGTACTGCCTGAACAAAATCGACGTCGTTGAATATACGCTTTAGAGTGCGAACGCTAGAGGGACTACAAAGCCAACATCGAAGTAACTGCAGGCAAAACCATTCCCCTTTAACCTTCAAGGGGTGGGGGGGAGGAATATTTAGTCGGTGGAAATCTCACACTACCAACTGTCATTTTTCAGTCCTCAAAACGTGGTAGTCTGATAAAAAATTTATTTTAAAAAATAAGTGAAAACTACAACTTTTCAATATTTGAAATTTCTTAATTTTCGTAGTGGAAGGTGAAAGATAAAACTCTAATATTTCAAGAAAGTGAATAGGTAATACTATTAGGTGCAATAATTTCTTCATAAAGCATCCCCAACAAAATAAATTTTGGTTTGACTTACTGTGAATGAATAATACAAACCATAAAATACAGTAAGATATATCGTTTTATTTTACATGTTCCAATACTTGTCTTTGGATAAGTTTTAAGAAAATTTGACACGCTAGCTAAAATGACCTGCCTTACTCAGCGTTAATAGAGTATATACTTTTAAACAACTTATCACTAATAGATAAACGAAATTGCTGATAAGCACGAATGATAGACTAATATAGCATCTTGATTCTATTGCAAAAGTCACGTTTTGATAAAGCCTCTCACACTGTTCAATTCTCATAAATATTTGAACAAATGATATTACGATGAGTAAGTAGTGCATTTAAGTTTTGAGTTTTGACTTAATAGTCTAATTTATTTAATTAATGTAAAAATTATGAGTTAAGAATCATCGAACAAAAATCTTCTCGACGTTATAAGCATCGAGCTAAAGTAATAAGCACGTTCATGGTGAGTCGACTTATGAATAAAAGAAATCAATTCGAATTATGCTACTTACGGAAATGTTAGAAAATATATACCGGATGAAGTTTCAACAATAAAAAAGTATAACAAATATTAAAAATTATTTTTATCTTAAAAATAACTTCAAAGTTAAAAATATGCTCTCATGAAACAATTACCTAAATTAAAAAAAAAAAATTCTTGAACCGATAACATAATTTTAAAGAAACTGAAATATCTAGAATCAAGTAGAAAAATAAGGAAAACGGTTGACCCTAAAGGCCATCCCTGCAACTTCCCGCTACCTCCATACCTAAGTGTTCAACAATTCACTTATTTTTTAAGCTCTTCGAGCTCAAATAAATCGCTGTTCTGTGCTTTTGAGCTTTTCAAGCTCAAAAGGCTAATGGAAGTTTTATAGAGCACTATTTTTTGAATTTTCAAACCGCAATAACTTTTGAATGAATTAACCGATTTTCTCGCGGTTTACGGCATTCAACGCAGTTTTTTGAGTTATTTGAAAAATTTTGAGCGAAAACTGGTCAGACTAAAAATTTCAGAGAAATTCTGAAAACATTTTTTCAACCGATTTTGACCGGGCTGGTGGCAATCGACGTGGTTTTTTGAGGTTAAGAGCTGATTAGTTTTTGGAATTGATCGGTAGAGCCGTTTAAAAGATATTTCAAAAAAAACGAATTTTTGGAAATTCTATTTTTGAGATTTCTCAAAATGATCGACTCAAATGGTGTAAATTAGTATCAGAATTCTAGGGGCAAAAGAACTCTTCAGAACGCCGCCTATTTCGATCAAATCAGATGATCCGTTCAAAAGTTATGAGAGATTTACACACACACACACACACACACACACACACACACACACACACACACACACACACACACACACACAC